CATCTTAACATTATGTTCCCCCTTTTCCCCATTCCAACCATGTCTCAATCCCTATATCCCAGAGCCCTGTTTTTCCAAGCTTGTGCATACATTATTATTTATCTTTTTCCCACTTGGACCATGCAAACCTACCTAATTGTTCTCCCATCTGCTTTGTTCTTCTTCAATTCCACTCTCCCTTCTTGTATATTGCCCCCATCCCAAGCACCCAACCTATCCTGTGTCTATTCCCTAACCTGTGTCCCACCTTCCCCTCCCTCCCCTCACCCTAACCCCACATCCCAGCAATCAGCAAATAATCCACCCCCCTTTAGGATGGGTTCTTTTTCATAGTTTTTTACAGTAGTGGTCCTATGCAGTGTTTCTCCTTTTGTGACTGACTAATTTCACTCAACATAATGTCCTCAAGGTTCATCCATGTTATGCAGTGGCTTGCAGCTTCCTTGTTATTCTTCAAGGTAGCATAATAATCCATTGTGTGTATGTACCACAGCTTGTTTATCCATTCTTAAGTTGATGGGCACTTTTGCTGTCTCCATGTTTTTGCTATTGTAAATAGTGCTGCTATGAACATTGGTGTGCATATATCTACTCATGTTATGGCTCATATTTCTTGTGGGTAAATACCAAGTAGAGGAACTGCTGAATCATAAGGTATTTCTAAGGAAAGGACTCATAACTTAAGCATGGTGGTGGTGGTGTGTGTGCCATGCAGTCAGTTCCGACACATAGCAACCCTGCACAGGGTTTCCCAGGCTGTAAATCTTTATGGGAGCAGACAGCCTCATCATTCTCCTTTAGAACAGCTGGTAGTTTCAAGTTGCTGACCTTTAGGTTAGCAGCCCAACTCGTAACCATTAAGTTCCCAGAGCTCCTACTCTATGAAGCAAGTACCAATAAATTAGGTATAACCTAAATAAAGTCTCTATGCCGGATTTTTATAGTTTTAGTCTGTCTCTGGTATCTTTAGGTTCATCTCGGTACCAAACATAAGGCAGTTCAACATCAGGCCCTTGCCCTAAACAGCTCTCAATGCCAAGAACTTGCAAATTACTACTTTGGTTTCAATGGCTGGTCAAAAAGGATCATCAAGGTAAAGCATGTAGATCTTCGATGATGTCTCTCCTTTCAGTGCTGAAATTCTAGACTTGAGAGAAGAATTGAACTGGGTTGTGGGGAGGCAGTAAGTATCTGAGCATTGGCCTACCATAGAATCTAATCTTAGTGACTTGGATAGTGGGGTCTCATTTTCTCCAGTGTTTGAATACAATGTAATCAGAAGTGTCTAGTAATTCCTTTGTGATTCCTACCTGAATGTAAAGCTATCGGCCACTTCTACTCTGAGCCGGGATTGCTGGAGTTTACCTTTTATTTTTCATAATAATATAAAATGTGTTAATATTTCTCATAAGAAAAGATTTTGAAGTCTCCTTTGATATCTAAGAAGAACCTTTAATGCAAATCCTCACAGGTTCAGGATCTTTCTGACCTTGACGAAAGGGAGAATGAAGATACCATGGCAGCAGCTCAGAAGCAAAACCTGAAGTTCTTCTGTGCTCTAGAGGTGGTGTTGCCAGCCTCTGAGTGCAGGACTCCTGGCATTGGCATAG